CATTCCGCTAGCAGACGCAACCGAACACAAGGTAACAGTAAACTCAAGCAAGAACCCAGCTAATAACAACGGAGGCACTAGTTTGCATAGTAAGGTAAGATGTGCTTTATTCTTTGACAATCGACAGCTATATGATCTTCTGAACAAGGATAGTTAGTTTATATAAACTAAGAAAAGTTGCTGCCTTTTAAAAACTAGATTCCCTTCAGTCGCAGGCCAGCGAGCCTACGAGCGGAGTCTGACACTGTCATATCCTCAAAGAAAATAGAACTTCTGATACGACAATACGATACACAAATGGTAGAAGGTATGCAGAAGCACAAGTAATGCAAGTGATTAGTATCGAATTAAAACGATGCTTGAATGCCAAAGGGAGCAAAGCACATTTAGAAACTATTCTTGAAAATCGGTTTCCTCATTAATAAGTATGCACAGAAAAAAGGAACTAATATCAGTAGAATAGCGTTTATAAGTAAATTATTGCGTAAGTGTGGCTCATATCTATATTGTTGCCAGGGAGATAGTATAGTTTGGGCAGGTGAGTCAATCGTGATGGTATAACGATCAAAGAAGGGGTTTGTTTTGGAATCAGCCCAGCAGTCATGCAGTCACCGTCACCGTAACAAAGCAAGCGAGGTAGACGTACAGTCTGCCCCAATCCCAACCAGGCCAAGATTGGCATGGCGGGAGTCCGCGTCGCTAGGGTTTCGCGGTCACGCCCACGGCCTGCTTCTCTGCTCTCTCTGCGATCCTTTTGCTCTCTCCGACAGCGCGCATATGCAGCGCAGACAACTAGCGCTGCAAGCGCGCAAATTTACGCCGAGGGTTCGGCCTGATCCGGATTGGAGCAGATTGTATGTTACATTGGAGACAGGGCGTTAAAAGTGAAGGTTGTTTGGATATCTGCTTCCCCCCCCCCATTCATAAGAAGCGAAGGTTGTTTATGATTCAGAGAAAAAAATGCAAATAGCAATACAATACCGCTCACAGAATGTGCAAAATTTCCTTGAATGTCGCAGAATTCCAGAAATTCCGCGAAGGTTCGCGAAATTTCGGGAATTTCGCGACATTCCTGGAATTCCGCGAAATTCCGGAAATTTCGCGAAATTCATGTGAATCACGCAAATTACGCAAGGCCATAACTTCTTTCCGAATGAGTATATTCGAAATCCGAAAAAAGCATTGTATTCAGCTCGTCAAGGCGAATCATTTGGTTTACAGGTTGTGTCCAATACCTTGTTTTCGATAATCTTGAATTTGCACGCGGACGCCTCTTCGCATGGTGGTAACGCAACGAGCATCAAACATAGGAGACTGCCATGGGCACCGCTCGATAGTACTCTTTCATTAGATTATCGTGCGCTAAACAGCAGCCGAAGACTCTCTTTCAAAAGAGATAGAAGAGCTAATAAACTCTGGAAAAACCAAGCTGTTCCAATTTGTACTAGCCGCAACCTCCTTCAGAATGAACATCTTCGAAATCCGAAAGCAGCATTGTATTCAGCTCTTCAAGGCGAATCTTTCGGTCTACATCATGTCCTTAAAATTCCGTTTCCAATTATTTCAAAATTTTCTGCGCTCGTATATTCACACGGTCGCAACGCAGCGCACATCAAACATAAAAGACTCCAATAAGCACTGTTGGATTGTGCTGCTTACGCAGATTTTTGAGTGCTAAAAAGCAATCGGAGAATTTTCTTGAAAAAAGATAGAATAGCTGGTGAATTCTGGAAAAATCGCAATGTCTCAAATTTTGCCCACCGTGATAAAATGAGAAGCTCTACTGCTAAGCAGATGTGATTTTCGTAATCAGCAGGTCAGATAACCTCTATGAGCAAGTTTTAAAAGAAATTCGGGTGATTTGATTTTTTCTTGTTCTACGCTCTAGAGCTCGCCGGTGGGTTTTGATCAAAATGTCGATGATCTCGGATTGTAAGGAAACTTCGCTCAGAGAGATTTTCGAACACGCTGTTTACGATAATCGTCTTTTGCGCGGAGTACAGAGTTTTCTAGCAGAGGTATGGTGAGGGAACTTTAGCTAAGCCACGCAAGTTCGTAGATTCGCCTGCATTTTTCGAGCACCTCTTAGAAAATCTGCTTGCTTGCCTTTGCAGGTTAAATTCACTAGAATGCGTGCTATTCAACGGCGCATGCATCCGGCTTCAATCTGTAGCAGTCGCCGAGTTAGGGGTCCTACGAAATCACGTCCTCATGAGTTTTGCCCAAAATGTAAAGATCACCTGCTTCGTAGAAATTCGACCTAAGTAACTGTAAGATACTGTGGTCACCAATTTTGTGTTTTGTTTATTTTGAGTTGAACATAAAATTCGCGACCACAGTGTCTTATAGTCACTTAGGTGAATTTCTACGAAGCAGGCGATCTTTACATTTTGGGCAAAACTCATGAGGACGTGATTTCGTAAGCCCCTAACTCGGCGACTGCTACAGATTGAAGCCGGATGCATGCGCCGTTGAATAGCACGCATTCTAGTGAATTTAACCTGCAAAGGCAAGCAAGCAGATTTTCTAAGAGGTGCTCGAAAAATGCAGGCGAATCTACGAACTTGCGTGGCTTAGCTAAAGTTCCCTCACCATACCTCTGCTAGAAAACTCTGTACTCCGCGCAAAAGACGATTATCGTAAACAGCGTGTTCGAAAACTTCTCTGAGCGAAGTTTCCTTACAATCCGAGATCATCGACATTTTGACCAAAACCCACCGGCGAGCTCTAGAGCGTAGAACAAGAAAAAATCAAATCACCCGAATTTCTTTTAAAACTTGCTCATAGAGGTTATCTGACCTGCTGATTACGAAAATCACATCTGCTTAGCAGTAGAGCTTCTTATTTTATCACGGTGAGCAAAATTTGAGACATTGCGATTTTTCCAGAATTCACCAGCTATTCTATCTTTTTTCAAGAAAATTCTCCGATTGCTTTTTAGCACTCAAAAATCTGCGTAAGCAGCACAATCCAACAGTGCTTATTGGAGTCTTTTATGTTTGATGTGTGCTGCGTTGCGACCGTGTGAATATACGAGCGCAGAAAATTTTGAAATAATTGGAAACGGAATTTTAAGGACATGATGTATACCGAAAGATTCGCCTTGAAGAGCTGAATACAATGCTGCTTTCGGATTTCGAAGATGTTCATTCTGAAGGAAGTTACGGCTAGTAGAACTTGGAACAGCTTGATTTTTCCAGAGTTTATCAGCCCTTCTATCTCTTTCAAAAATAAGTCTTCGGCTGCTGTTTAGCGCACGGTAATCTATTGAAAAAGTACTATCGAGCGGTGCCCATGGCAGTCTCCTATGTTTGATGCTCGTTGCGTTACCACCATGCGAAGAGGCGTCCGCGTGCAAATTCAAGATTATCGAAAACAAGGTATTGGACACAACCTGTAAACCAAATGATTCGCCTTGACGAGCTGAATACAATGCTTTTTTCGGATTTCGAATATACTCATTCGGAAAGAAGTTATGGCCTTGCGTAATTTGCGTGATTCACATGAATTTCGCGAAATTTCCGGAATTTCGCGGAATTCCAGGAATGTCGCGAAATTCCCGAAATTTCGCGAACCTTCGCGGAATTTCTGGAATTCTGCGACATTCAAGGAAATTTTGCACATTCTGTGAGCGGTATTGTACAATAAAAACAGAGAAACAGACAAGGACAGAAAAACAGATAGCAACAAAAGAAATTCCTGAAAACCGAGCGAAAACGCTGCAACGAGTTTGAAATCTCCTACTTAGCGACATTTCACCTTTCACATCAAAAATTTTACTCCTTTCTACACATGCCAGCAGTGCCAGCAGCTTAGTGCAGCTTTACGGCGATTTCATCGCGTTTACTGGATGATAAACTAATTCGAAAACAAGGGGTAAAGGATTCACTCAAAACAGTGAAAAGCTCGGCTTTTATGGCGGTATTCTATCATTTATTATATACTAAAGGGTATGAGAACCTTCACAAGATATATACAACAACACTGTGTATATACAAGATATATACAGTCTTTTTCAACCCGGAATGGGCGAAATCTTTCAAGTGGAGCAACGCGTCCGCACCGCCACTGGCTCAGCGAGATAGAGTAGAATGAAGAGACGCAAACTGCAACAAACTGCAAAGCGGCGAGAATCGTTGCGAAGCGGACTTCTGCCAGTCCATTTTCTGCCTAAACAGAGTTGAAACTTACTATCGAAGAAGGATACATTGTCCACATCAAAATTAGGAATAACAAACTATCCATAACAAAGCATACACTTCGAAAAAAGTGCTGTTGCACTAAAATGAAAGTTGTATAAGCAAAAAGGACAAAACAACCGTAAATTCTTGAAAATTCATTGCACAAAAAATGAGAATTTCTGATTTTTTAGAGTTTTAGAGATCAAGTCTCACATAATGTAATTGTGAAGTCTTTGACTCTTAGTTCAAAGTATAGTATCTTCTCCACTTGGACTCTATATGATTGTGTGCTACCAAACCATGTTGACTATCAGAAGGTGTGGTGCTTTGAAGAGAAGCCAACGAGCGACCTGCTGAAATCAGCGTCACTGAGTGCAAATACACTAAATAAGCTAACCCACTGATGAATACGGCCCCGATGCAAGAATATCATTCTAAGCAAGCGATGGTGTTTCATACTGTGAAAATGATGTCATCAATCTTTTTTGTGTGCATGACAAAGGCAGTTGAAAGTCAGATATGACTAACTGATTTATTTATTGCATATTTTGCTAATACCTTGTTCAATGGGTGACATTTATTCTTGAGTAATTATTTGCCAAACAAAGGACGAAGTATTAGTCAATGAGCGACCGGAAAGAAATGTATAAATTGGGAACCTGAAGTTGAGTTTTGGCTTCATAATGAGAACCACAATTCGGTTAATTTTTATCTTAATCTCGGTAATCTTCACAGAACAGCATCACTTTTTCGTTCCCATCGTTGGAGACGGATTGGGCTTTCCTAGCATGGTATGGTAAACAACAGCCATCCCATATCATGACGACATTATTGCAGGTTTACGATGGACACCACTTTTTTGGTCATGAGCGACTGTTCCATCCAGGTTTTCCACTAGTGGTAAATCCCGCACCGGGTGATCTCAGAACAGTCGCGCAACTTCCTGTCGTAACCCCCTCAGGGGTTAAACTTGTTGCACCAGCATTTGGTGCTTATCTTCCCGCTGAGCCAGCAAAAGGTGGTGGTGTAAAGCCAAAGCAGACTGTGGGTCCTCCCAGTGCAGCTGGTCGACCAACTGCAAATACCGTCACGACAGACCTTGCAGTCGAGAAATCTATAATGCCAAACTTAGATACAGCTGCAAAGGCTATGGGTTCTACTGTTCCACTCTAGTGCAATTCTAAACATGATTGTATATGACTGTAATTGAGATGTAACTTGTGAGTTAGATTGCTTTTTTGCAAGTCTTTTCAACTTTTTTTCTACCAGAGCTTTGATTTCTGCTGAGTTTAGAGATGCATTTTCCCACAATACGAGTGCTTCAAATTCCAACTTGACTTCAAGACTGTGAAACGTAGTTGAGTTTGTGATAATAAAAATATTTTATATTCTGGTGGTTTGATTGTTTTTCGGGTCAGATTATAAAGTAATTTTTATGCCAAAATGCCGTCGGATCTTTCAGTTCTTTCGTTGGGAAGTTCTCTCGCCTTACAACTTCCGACATTTTTTTAAAAGGAGATTGTCTGTCAAATGCGCATGCAATAGAATCTGTCTTGCTCAAGAAATATAAGAAAGAGTTTATATTGTGGGTGAATTAGAAACACACAAAGGCTTGTAGTCGTAAAAAAGCAGGATCTGCTGAAATCAAATGATTAGCAAACTAGTTAAGTAAAGCAATTGAACTAATATGCTATGTAAAATGAAAATTTATTTGACAGAATGGATAAGTATTCTTTAAATGTCATTTTTCTCTTCATGTACTTCACATACTTGATATTCAAAACCTAAAGGGCAAGCTTTGATTTTTGATACGTTCAATTTTGTTAATGCGAGAGAAATAAGGTTGTCATGAATGTAATTACAAGCATGTGGTGAGAGCTTCAACTGAAAAGAACTTGGCCGCGAATTTCCCAGGGTTCAGCTTTTCGAGAAGCTTATCAGGATTGACTGCAATAATAGGTAGTTCCGAAAGTGATGTCGCTTTTTCAAATATACTCCACATCTTATGGAACAAAGATTTGTAAGAGGTAATGTAATGATGGATGTGGCAGTTCGATGCAGCATTTTATTCTCTTCTTAATGGTTGCAGTTCAATTGCAATATGTTCAATGATCTCTCGAAAAATCACAAAAATCTGCGACTCATGCTTTTTGCCATGGTCAATGTTCGGCTATTTTTCTAAATTTTTGTACTGATTCCCCAAACAGGTACAAGTGATGTACGGATAGAGCAAACTCTACAAAAAACAAAGTAATTTTTTCCTACTTTTCAGATGTCGTCATTACAGATTTTTATGTACAGATTTTTTACTGGGACCACCGAATTTTAGCAGGCTTGTCTCAGACACAAATGCATCAAACACCAATAAATCTTCGGTTAAAACGCAAAGCTGTTTTTTTTTTGACACTAAACCTTAAAAAGCAAATGAGCATTCATGTTTCAAGACAGCAACTTTTGAATCACGGGTACAGCCTGGGACGCCTTGGAAAACCTGAATTAGATAATTTTATTAATCATTAAACTTATCACTTAATTATCACTTAAAAGATAATTTTATTAATCATTTTATTAAACATTATTAATCGGAAACGATAAACAAATGCTAGAAAGAGGAGAAAAATGCGCGTCGAATGACATTTGAGTTGACTACCGGTTATTGTTCCGTGAGGTTTGAGTTGACCCAATATGAATTGGACAGCAATGAAAACTTGATTTTAGAAATTCTAACAAGAGAAGCTACCTATTTTAGGTGGGCCTTTTGGCAAGGGACATATATATAATCTGAATCATCTTTAAACGCTGATTCCAAATATGCTATTCCTAGCTGCCCCGCACAACTCCGAAGCGAGTTGCGGGCTTTTTACTGCGCAAAATTGGCATGCGCATCGACTCACGGGCATTACGTCATCATCATTCAAATGCTGATACACCTGCGTTGAGCATTTTTTAGTGAGAAAAGACTGGATTTGTACTATCTCGATACCTCAGCACCTTTTTCTTGCAGATTTTCATCTACAGGCAACTTCTCATGTTCAGTAATATGCCAATTTTGCGTGGGAAAAAGCCCATAACTCGCTTCGGAATGGTGCGCGGCAGTTAAGAATAGCATATTTGAAATCAGCGTTTGAAACTGACTGTGAATATATATGCCTTTTACCAAAAAGACCGATCTAAGTTAGATAGCTTTCCTGATAAGAAGCAAGCTTAAGAAAAAGTTGTTTTGTGCTTTATAGGGTTTGCTCTAACTACCCATTACTTGCGCTTTTTCGGGGAAATGGTACAAAAATGAAAAATAGTCGATGACCATGGCATAAAGCATGGGTCTCAGATGTTGGTAATTTTGCGAGAGCTCATTGAATATCATGCAATGAAATTACGACCTTTGAAAAGAGATTGAAATCCGCATCTACTGGTTCCAAGATCTCTTACAAATCTTTGTTTCATTAGATGTGGCGTACATCTGAAAAAGCGACATCACTTTCGGAAAAACATAATACATAACTTCGTGTTCTACATGCCGCTAGGCACATTGTGAGATAGGTTGAATTACGCAGAATTTTGGAGGAGAAAGCTTTGGTAATGCGAAAAGGTACAAAAAACTGACATAAAAATATTTTCAGAACAGATTCTTGATGGACATGTTGAGTGTAAGTAAGTTCGCAAAGTAAGAATTCAATAACGTGCTTTGAGACATTTCTTGCTACCAGTGAGCGCAATTTTTGCTTCGAATCGGCATTCCGAGGGAGATGGGAAAACAGGGAGGGAGGGGAAGGGAAAGTAGAGACTTATGTAGATACCTAACAGCCCTCATCAACAGAACCCTAAGTTAAGGATTAGCGCTGAAATATTTTACAAAACCAAAAGTCCGAAACAAAGTGTACTTCACTCGAATTTTAATCACTCAAGAATTTTGTAGAGCCAGAGTGCCACACCGTTTTCAGTTGTGATCATAAAGTCCAACAAAGACAATGCTCTTTGATTTCTATCTTTGCGCCCATTCCCACATATTGCTTGGGCCTCGGAAATAGTTTTAGTTTCTGAAATGCTTTGTAGAAAGTTTAGTTTGAAAAATGGTAATCAAAGATCCTAAGAGCTGGTTTTGAGCAAAAGGAGTGATAACTGGCGGAGCTATCTTGGCTAAGCAGCTCTTCAACGTTTGAAAAAGTGACACAAACACACTTTTGGAAGAGCGCTAAATGCCGTAACCATGGTCGCTTAAATTGTACTTTTTTCAAGAGCTCAGATAACCCGCACTTGCAAAGCCCTCGATATCAATTCCCTTCTTATCGAGATTCCAAACATTTCGCACGAACTATAGAGCAGAATATCATGAGAAACAACAATTGTATTCATCCTCATAGAAGGAATCACTCTGTTTTGTTTTGAGTGTGGTTTTAACAAGCGATAAAGCAGCTACACAATTTTCGTTGCCATACATTATGATTCTGTTTTTTTTTACTTGCACATTGTACCTTCACTTTATCTTTCAACACTCTAAATCAAGCCACAACGCACTTAGTTGGTAGAATTTTGCAATTAAGATGTCGCATTATGTTAGAATCAAAACTCGCTATCTATAGTTGACGTTTAGTTCTTATAAAAATTAATAATTAGCTCTTTTTTATCTAATTTCATTGATGTTCAGAGAGTTTTTCATTGAGTTCACGTGAATTACTTGAATCTTTGTTTAATCTAATGCTGGCTTTATACTATTTGTTTTTCAAATTTTATATGTTATAACAGGCCATTCCGAAAGTTTCTGCAGTTTTTTTCTAGAAATTTCCATCTCAGTCAAAAGGATCCTACGAAAAAAAATTAAGTGAAGGATTGCAGAGGTGAGAATTCTAATGGCTCATCCCAATGTCTGAATCAGTAGTGTTCAAGAACTGCATTTTTGTTTTAAGTTTGATCCTTTTTATTTTTCTTTTGAGTTTCATGTACATCTGTAAAATGAAGTAAACCTCAGTGTTCCAGGCAATTTATGGATTTCAAAGGAAAATTTCCGACAGAATTTAAAATTTTTTCTGCCTAACCCCTTATTCCCATTACATTCGGGTGAAAATTTCTCAAAAATGAAAGCTATCATCAGTTTCAGCATTTTGTCAGTAGATTCGAAATACCATTCTAATAAATCGTATGTTCGTAAAACACTCTTTGAGCGTGTCCATTTGAAAAAGCCTTTTATCTTCTCCAATTCATTTGAATATGAACTGGCAAAGAGATCGGGAAAAAGAGCTCTAATCTATACTTTATGAGAAGAACTCACATTTTTCCTCATTTGCTTCCGCACAAACATCGAATCAAACCCAGAACAGAGACAGAAGGGCTCTTGCTTTGCAGATATTAATGAACAGTGTGAGTATAATACTTACAGAGTTTATGGGCGTTTCAATGTCTTTAATTTAAAAAAAGAGAGGTACTATGAGATAATGGCATACAAATTATCAATTTTTCGAGACAAGTCAAACCTATAACAGTTCTTGATATTCTGCATTTTACATTCCTAATGTAATTGTTGCATGTGCACTTATATCTCAAGTTTTTGTAAACCGCTCCGTGTCCTGCCTCCAGAACGAATACTCAGCAAGGCCCGTCACGAATTCGTTTCTAAACTTATTGAAAACAAACTTTCCTTTGCTTTTCGCGACATTTTACAAAGTTCCCTTCAACTTTTAGCCCCAGAACTCGCACGAGGTGGCTAGTTGAAAATGCAAAAAACGAAGTCCCCCTTGACTTTTGCGAATTTTTACGAAGTCTCCTTTGACCCTAGACGATAATCCCTAGAAAAAACCTCTAAAAACGAAAAGTCGCAATTTTTGCCCTAAAAACGATATCCTCTTTGCTTTTTCACCTTAAAAACGAAGCTCAGCCTGCTTATCTGTGCCGGGCCCTGTACTAGCCCTTGGAAACTCTGCCCTTTGAGCCCTAATCGGTAGAGCTGATTTAGTTTGGCAGCGTTGATATGGATAAAATTCTTAGGCAAACGATACCAGAAAATTACTTGACGCTGCACCCGCACGCTGTGAACTAATGACATTATTGCAAGAGATAACATGTGTCATTCTCAAATTATCATATTGCTTAATTTGCAGGAGCTTGCTTACAAGAGCACAAGTAAACTGCAACTGTCCAATGACCCCTCTCAAAATCAGTTCTCTTCTTACAAAGATTAC